CCTGGACTTTTTTTGGTTGGGAGTCTTTTGATGACTTGGTCAATTTCTTCTACTGTTATGGTCTGTTTAGGTTTTCTGTTTCATTGTATGTAAGTTTAGGTAGGTTGTGTTTATCCAAAAATGTATCCATCTCTTTTAAATTTTCAAATTTGTTGGAGTATAGCTCTTCGACCTTCATTCATTTTTGAAGGATGATTTTTTGCTGGCTATGAAAGTCTAAATTTTGTACAATATTTTAAATGAGACATTTTACATAATTCTTATCCTTGTTCTTCTATGTCTCTGGTGGTGGTGGTTATGTGCCGTGGAGTCAGCTCTGACTCATAGTGATGACCCTGTACAGGGTTTCAAGGCTATTAATCTTTACAGGAGCAGAAATCCTCATCTTTCTCCCATGGAACCACTGGTAGTTTTGAACTACTGACCTTGAGATTAGCAGCCGAATTCATAACCACTGCGCTACCTATAGCGGGTTCTTTTTTGTTTTGTTTTTTTTCTCTGACTCTGAAGATTTTCTGTGTCTATGATTTTCTGAAATTAGAATATGATTTGCCTAAGTACAGTTTTCTGGTATTTAGTCTGATGGGTATTCTCTTATGCTTCCCTGATCATGGTTTGGTGCATGGCTTTAATTTCAGAAAATCCTTGATCAGTATTCCTTCAAATATTTCTTCCATTCCTTCCTATTTTTGGCTCCTGATCTTCCCAGCAACATAACATACACATATGTTATACTTTTTATGGTTGTCTCATTTGTATTTGATTTTGAAATGTGAATTCTTATTAAATCTTAACTGAAGAGTATTTGAACCTCATCTCCGAAGTCTTCCTCCCCCAAACCAATAGCCCCAGTGTAATCACAAGAAAGCCCATCAGAAACATTTCAAGAGTGCTGTCATACAGTGTCCATAACCAGCACTCCAAATTGTCAAGCTCACTCAAACCAAGGAGACTCTGAGAGACTTTCAGAGGCTAAGGAGACAATAGCAGCTACCCGATATCCCCGGAACACTAGGGAACAGCTAATAAAATCTCAGTCAGGTGTGGATATTACTTAACAAACCCAATTTTGGTTCCTTATTTATGATAAATTTATCATGGTTTCGTAAACATTAACAATAGGAAAAACTGGGTGCAGAATATGCTGAAACTCACTATCATTGCAAGTTTTATAAATCAAAAAGTATTCTAAAATAGAATGTGTACTTAAAAAAAACAACTTATTAGAAATATTGTTACAATTATACTTGCCCTTCTGAAGTAAATACAATGCATACTTTGTTTGTTTTATGCTTTATAAAGATGTTTTCAGGTTTTTCTTAACTTAGCATCACAATAAACCTGCAAAGCAAGCAGAACTGGTGTTATCCACTTTAACATGAGTTAAAGTAGGGGTGACTGCCCAAATTCTCGCTACTAAGTGGTTGTCCTGGGGCCCAGCCATGCTGTGGGTTTTTTCTCCTCCAATCACAAATAGTTTGATAATTGGGACTGTGGGGAGTGAGAGACAGCCATTTTGTGGGCGGAATTTAACTTTCATCTACGCCTCATAAAACATTTCTTAAGATAGCTGTATTTTATTTTATAAAATTTAGGCACCAAGAAATACTTAGACAGTCTTTAATATCTTCAGCCCTTTGTCATTTTGACATGTCTTCTAAGGTTCCTTTGTGATCTACGTTGATCATCTGCTTGGAGAAGGAGCCTTTGCCCAAGTCTATGAAGTGACCCAAGAAGATGTGAATGATAGCAAAAATAAACAGAAATTTGTTTTAAAGGTAAATGATCTGAAGCATTTTGTATACAGTATAGAGTGAGTTTTAGAATTTGAGTTTGCCAGCTTCTGTTTTACAATAATAATCCTACACTTAGGTCTTCATGTAGGTCTATATTCAGCAATTAAAAAACAAAACTGTCCTGTAAAGAGTCAGAACTGTCTTGCTGATAAATTACCATTCAGTAAGTCCCATGCTGTGACAGCAGTTAATAACTTTCCATTACTGTCTACCCTACTCCGTCGTTGTTGCAAACCTGATTTCAGGTCCAGAAGCCTGCTAACCCTTGGGAGTTCTACATTGGAGCCCAGCTGATGGAAAGGCTAAAGCCAAGCATACAGCCCATGTTTATCAAATTCTACTCTGCACACTTCTTCCAGAATGGCAGTGTGTTAGTGGGAGATCTCTACAGCTATGGGACATTACTGGTAAGTACAGCGTCCTGACGTAGCGCTATAGGATAAGTCAGTGCTGGATTGCTAACCACAAGGTCGGAGGTTCAAACCCACCAGCCGCTCATTGGAAATCCTGTGCAGGGTTGCTATGAGTCAGAACTGACTCAACAGCACTTAACAACAACAACATATTCTCTTTTAGGATGTGAACATAATTTTGAAGTATTTTTTTTATACCTTCTATAACTGGAGCTAGACTTGAAATTTCATTAATCTTATGTAACCCTCTGTTGTTGTTGTTAAGTGCCGTTGAGTCGGTTTCGACCCATAGCGACCCTGTACAGGGTTTCCGAGGGTGTAAATCTTTACGGGAGTAGAAAGCCTGATCTTTCTCCCGCGGAGCAGCTGGTAGTTTCGAACTGCTGACCTTAAGGTTCGCAGCCCGATTCATAACCACTACGCTACCCTCTAAGGATTCCTTTTTCCGTTGTTTCCAGAACGCCATTAACCTCTATAAAAATACCCCAGAAAAAGTGATGCCTCAAGCTCTAGTTATCTCTTTCACTATCAAAATGCTCCACATGATTGAACAAGTCCATGCCTGCGAAATCATTCATGGAGACATTAAGCCGGACAATTTCATATTTGGGCAAAGGCAAGTGTTGCGCATATGGTGGGCTTCTTCTCTGGATAGTTCCTGAGTAGCCTTCTGTTACGTGTTCTCATGCTGCCGGACTCTTATTTGTGTTTAATGCAGATTTCTAGAACAGGATGCTGAAGATGATGATTTATCAGCAGGCTTGGCATTGATTGACCTGGGTCAGAGCATAGATATGAAACTTTTTCCTAAAGGAACATCATTTACAGCCAAATGTGAGACATCTGGTTTCCAGTGTACTGAAATGCTCAGCAAGAAACAATGGACCTACCAGGTATCGAACTCAACTGAAACCTTTGGGAATGTTTTTCTTTTGCTGTACTTCTCAGATTTTCACAATAAAGTTAGCGATCTACTTAGTTTGAGCTGGTCTCTTGAATAGCTTTTGAGGGACAGATGGAACTCCTAGCTGCTGGAGCCTAAGGGTAAAATTATATTCCTGAAGCACATGCCTTTCTTATTGCTCAGTTAGAGATTGTGTGAGCTTACTCAGGCATAATGGCCTGTGATCAGATCTGTCCACCTTGGTGTCCTCTGTGACCAGGGTGACGGAATCGTGGCGTGCCCCACTCCAGACTGGGCAGACCAGGCAAGATGCTGGGTATGGCTGTAACGGGCGGTGTGTTCAGACTCCTGTGACAATGCTGTCAGATCCAAAGGTTTTGCCAGTGGGTTCTTATAACCGAGGGGGAGGTTTTTAGTGACATGCCATAGGATTCTGCCCCTAGCCACAGCATATTTAATATTTTTTTCTGTTTTCAATGACTATATAGAGTCTATGGAGATTAAACAGAGTACCAAACTCAAGTTAAAAAAAGGCATATAAAAAGTTAACTTGTTAGGATTCTCAACAAGCTAGAAATGCTGCATGACTAGTAAAGAGAAGACTAACTGGTGCATAGAAAGTTTTGAACCTGGTTGACAAAATCCACTAAACCGGTTCCAGGGGAGCAGTGTGGCTTTCTAGGAGCTCATGATAATGGGGCTTGGGATGCTCTCGGAGGGAGGTCCATTTTAATTATTACTAGTATGTGTCACTGACACTGAGACCTGAGAGTGGGTAAGGATGATCTGTCGTCTGCTGGGACCATCTTCTTCTCTCCATTGCTACTGTGTTCTGCACATCAGACGCAGAGGGGAGTGTTGGAGTACAGTAGAGAGTCCTGAACCAGAGCCCCAGGGCTAGGAGTTGGGCTGACTTCCAAGCCAGCAGTGTGGAAGAGGGATTAGAGTGGGTTGTGTGCCCTTGGCAGAGCGGAGGGCACAGTAGTTCAGGAAGACAAAGCTTCCCAAGGGGCTATCTTGGGAGTCTGTATGGTGTCTGCTGTCTGTGGAAGATTTTTGGCAGAGTCTGGGTAGGCATTGGTTGGGATGCCAGCAGAGTGGCTGAACAAATAGCTTCCAGAATCTTTAAGAGTGAAATCCTGGTCTACAGGCCCACACAAACCACAGCCTCTACGAGCCTGAGAAGAGGAGAAATGGATGGTGCCCAGCTACCACTACTGACATCTGACCAGGTTCACAATAAGACATTCTGTACAGAGTGGAAGAAAAAAGTAGAACAAAATTCAAAATCATTAAAAAGACCATACTTAACTGGTTGTTGTTGTTAGGTACCGTTGAGTCGGTTCCGACCCATAGCAACCCTATATAGGGTTTCTGAGGAGCATCTGGTGAGCTTTAACCACCGACCTTGCAGTTCAAGTGGTTTTGCAGTCTGACATATTAACCCACAGCCCCACATCAGGACTCCTACTTAACTGGTAGGATTCCCAAAATTATAGCCCTGAGCTGAATCCACTCCTGGGGAGACCTTTCAGCCAAATAGGCAGGTCTGTAAAGTAAACAACCTGTGATCAAGGTGCTCTTCAGAACAATGAGCCAGACAAAACCAAAGGCCAACATTTGCCCCAAAACCAAGTTCAGAAGGTAGGACAGAAATGGAAAGGACAAACAGAGAGGAGGACCTGAAGAGGAAGTGAAAAGAGTGCTGTTATATTGAGGGAATTGCAACTAACATTATGAAACAAAATGTGTATAAATTGTTGAATAAAGAATTAATTTGCTCTGTAAACTGTCGCCCAAACCACCAAAAGTTTCAAAAAATGCCAGTTGCAATCATGTGATGATTTAGCTTGTTGCCTAGGTTAGAGTGGCACTTTAATACACCATGTGTGATGAAAGCTTAAGCCATGCATACCTGTTTTTCTCTACAGATCGATTACTTTGGAGTTGCTGCAACAGCGTACTGCATGCTCTTCGGCACTTACATGAAAGTGAAAAACGAAGGCGGGGTCTGGAAGCCTGAAGGTCTCTTTAGACGGTGAGTGTCAGCATTGAGGCTGTGGTGAAAAGGAGTAAATGTAGTAGAAAGATGGATCCCACCTGGAGGGAACAGATATTTGCCACTGCATGGAGAACCCATGCCTTGGGCAGGAATGGTGAAACAGCACAGTCATGGCATGGGCCAGTGGGCAGCATGACCCTGAGCAAGGTACATAACTTCACCTCGGTCTCCCATTTCTAAAGCTGTGCCAGTCAGTGGCCCCTGAGAATCACTGAAACCTCCTGATCGAGTGGTTGGCATCCCATACACAGTCAGATGTTCCCCATTTACCCTTTGGCAAAGTCAACTAATAATCATGGAGTCTCAAGTTTTTGCTTGTTCGTTTGTTTCATGTCTATATAAATATGAATAAAATGGATCCTACTTTCTTCAAATGCTTATTATAATCAGCAAAGGAAGTAATGAATATGAAAGTACTTTGAAAATCATGACGTGGCATGATGAGGCAGCTAACACAGAAGGCGGCTTTATGCTTCACACTGTGTTTGGTGTCTCTGAGACTGATCCCTCAGAACAACACCAGAGCTCGTTCTAGTAACATAAGTGACACTTGTACTATTTGATACCGTCTGTTGTGTGAACAGATTGTACCAATTACATTGTTTAAGGTGAGTATTTGGTATGTGAGTGTTCACTATATTATTTACAAGTATACCCTTTAAAAAAAATTTTTTTAAGGTATAAAAAACACACTAAAAAGTACACACATCATAAGTATATCACCTGATGGAATTTAACGATTGTAAATAAATGTAAACTAGGTAGTCCTCTCTTTACACCCTCCCTTTCCCCAAATAAAAAAAAAGATAGGTTCCAGTTCCGGAGGAAACTTTCTAACACTTGTGCTGTCTACTGTCTGCTCCCTTGTGAATGATCAAATTCAGCAAATCCTTCATTCTTTCACTTACTCATAACTGAAGGAACAGATAGTTTGCTGTCCAGTATGGAGAAAGCCTGGGTCACCCCAGCAGGTCCAGAGACAATGTGCTGAATCTCCTGTTTGAGTTATGTCCAGTTTCGATGCTGGTGTCTCTTCCAGGCTCTTGCATGTTTGCAGTTAACTTGAACCATCATATGGTTACACTCAAGTCTGAGCTGTGTCCACAGGCACTTAGGCTCACAACCATTTGGCTACATTTATCAGCTTCCAGCAGTATATAATCAGGTCCTGGGGTGGTGCTGTGGGTTCATGCGCCACACTGCAAAGCCGTTTGGACTGCAAGGTTGGTGGTTCAAGCTCACCAGCCGCTCCTCGGAAACCCTATACAGGGTCGCTATGGGTCGGAACTGACTCGATAGCACTTAACAACAACAGCAGTATATAGGATCAGCACTGGACCGCGAACCACAAGGTCGGCAGTTCAAACCCACCAGCCACTTCTGAAACCCTATAAAGGGTTGCTATGAGTTGGAACTGACTCGACAGCACTAAGCAACAACTACAACAGTATGTACAGCTAGACAAAAGCGGATATGTTTTCTAAAATACAAAGTAAGAAAATTTTCCTGTTTAAGAGCTATCATTAAAAGAATATGTATCCTTTTTTATTTTTGGAGAAAGTTGACACAGCAGTTAACAATGTCTATACATACTGTCCCTGACATTGGTTACACTTTCCACAGTGTTTCAGCAGTCTCATTATTTCTACTCTACTTGCTCTCTTTTCTTCATCTAGCTTCCCGCCTGCACCCCATACATTTTCATCTTTGCCATAGGGTGAATATTGGCTCCTTGGCTCCACATAGGTGATGGTTATCTAAAGAAAGTCCTGGTGGGTGCTGTAGGGTCAGCACTGGACTGCAAGCCACAAGGTCAGCAGTTTAAACCCACCCAACTGCTCCTCAGAAACACTATATAAGTTTGCTATGAGTCAGAACCAACTTGATGACACTTAACGACAACAAAGGGATACAGCCCTCACTGACATTACTGTTTACTTTAGGAACCAGTCTAGTATTTGACTGAAAGGTGGCCGCTACTACTGGCTTCAGTTTAGACTGTTTCTTAAATCATGTGATTTTTTTTTTTTTCTTTTGAGACATTTAATTGGATCCTTAAGTCCTTTTATTTAGAATAAATTCTGTGTTCTTCTTGATTTGTGATATTTTAAGTTACACTTAGTTGAGAGTTGTTACATTAAACAGTCCAAGCCTATGGAAGCCAGGTGTACGGGTATGGGTGGCATTGCTGTTGGTTTTGAGGGTTACATTGGGTCCATAATTTATGCTTTATCTCTTCAGGCTTCCTCATTTGGATATGTGGAATGACTTTTTTCACATCATGTTGAATATACCAGACTGTCATCAGCTTCCATCTTTGGATGCTTTAAGGCAAAAGCTGAAGAAAGTATTTCGACAACACTATTCAAACAAGATTCGGACCCTGCGTAACAGACTGATTGTACTGCTCTTAGAATACAAGCGCTCACGGAAATAACAATGGTATGCACAGTCTCCGGAAACCACTTTGCAAATGCCAACCTTACTCAGAACCTTAATGTTTTCTCCATATACTGTTTGTGTAAATAGTAGTTAAAAATAAAGCCCATATTTTCATGTGACTCAGTTGTAGATATTTTAGCACAAACTACAACATGATAAGGTCCCTGCTTAGCAGCTCCCTGAACTCCTTTGACATGCAAGCACACATGAGAGTCATTTGAATATACACACGACCTAGGACTCGCTTCTTAAACACAGACCTGTTCACAAGGAACATAAAAGGGCCACCATAGTTTTTCTCCCAAATGAAAGGCCTTGTGTTTGTATAAAACAAAAAGTTCCCCTAAGATCCATGGGGCTTAAAGTGTCTATGAGTGAAGTTATCTGTTCTTTATTATAAGGAGGCTTGGTGGTGCTGTGGGATAAGCACTGGACTGCGAACCACAAGATCTGTGGTTGGTGGTTCTGATGGAGAAGGATGAAGTTCTGCTTCTGTGAAGATTTCAAAGCCTCTCAGAAACCCTGTACGGTACCCTGAGTCGGAACCAGCTCAACAGCACTTAACAACAGCAACACACTCATTTCCAGCCACCATGTTTGCCATCTCAGAGGCCACCCCCGAGGCCCACTTTTTGTGAATCCTGCTATCTTAGGCTGGGTTCTCTGGAGAAGGAAAGCTGCTGAAGCTCATTTATGCATATAAAGTGAGATTGATCTCAAGGAAAGAGCTCACACAGGTGTAGAGGCTGGCAAGTGCCCAGTCTGTGGGTCAGATGTCAGACTCCTGTAGCTGCAGGGGCTGCTAACAAACCAGTTTTGCACGTCAGACAGCTGGCTTCTGACTCGAAGGCTGGGAAGGCTCATGACCCCAAGATCAGCAGGTAGGATGGCAGTCTGCTCGCTGGTACAGGCTACGAAGGTTAACAAATGCCAAGGCTGGCTTCAGTCCCAAGAACCAGATATCAGGTGATGAGAGCCAGATGTTAGATCCAGAGCCAGCAAAAAGCTAGAATGTTCATTTACATTTGATGCAGACCCCACCCCCAAGCAAACTCCTTTTCAACTGATTGGCTGCTCCAGTAAAGATTTATAGCCTCAGAAACCATATGTTGTTGTTGTCAGGTGCCATCGAGTCGGAACCGACTCATAGCGACCCCATGCACAGCAGAACTAAACAATGTCTGATCCTGGGCCAACCTCACTACCGCCGCCACACTTGACACCATCAATGATGCCACCTGGCTGATCCATCTCGTTGGGGGTCTTCCTCTTTTTCTCTGACCCTCCATCTTACCCAGCATGACATCCTTCTCCAGCGACTGTTCTCTCCGGACAATGTGTCCAAAGTATGAGAGACGAAGCCTAGCCATCTTGGCCTCCAAGGAGCACTCTGGCTGCACTTCTACCAAAACAGATCTATTGGTTCTTTTGTCAGTCCATGGCACTTTCAGTATTCTCCTCCAACACCACAACTCAAAGGCATCAATTCTTCTATGATCTTCCTTATTCATTGTGCAGCTTTCGCATCCATATGAGGTTATTGAAAATACCATGGCTTGGGTCAGGCGCACCTTAGTCCTCAAGCTGACATCTTTGCTCTTCAGTACTTTAAAAAGTTCCTGTGCAGCAGATTTGCCTAATGCAATACGTCGTCTGATCTCTTGACTGCTGCTTCCGCGAGTGTTGATATTTGATCCAAGAAGAATGAAGTCCTTGACAACTTCAATCTCTTCTCCATTGATAAGAATGCTGTTTATTAGTCCAGTGGTGAGGATTTTTGTTTTCTTTACATTGAGTTGTAATCCATATGGAAGGCTGTGCTCTTTGATCTTTATCAGTAAATATTTTAAGTCCTCTTCACTTTCAGCAAGCAAGGTTGTATCATCTGCATATCTCAGCTTCAGATGAGCTTCCAAACAAAGACAGACTAGGAAGAAAGAGTGACAAACTACTTCCGAATCGCTAGTCACTGAAAACTCTGTGAATAGCAGAAACCATATACGGGGTCGCTATGGATCAGAAACAACTCGATGACACTTAACAACAACAACTATATTTCTATTTCCAACATTTCGAGGAAGTGCCATACTGTTTTCTACAGTTGCACCATTTTACAGTCTCACCAGCAATGTAGGAGGGTCCCAGTCCTCCATACCCTCACCCAGCATCTGTTGTTTTCTAGGTCTTTTTTTTTAAGCTGTGCTATTAATGCTGGGGTAAGATGAAGAATTGATGCCTTTGAGTTGTGGTTTTGAAGGAGAATATTGAAAGTGCCACGGGCTGCCAAAAGCACCAATAGATCCATTTTGGAAGACGTGCAGCCAGAGTGCTCCTTGGAGGCCAAGATGGCCAAACTTCCTCTCATACTTTGGACATATTGTCAGGAGGGATCAGTCGCTGGAGAAGTATATCATGTTTGGTAAGGTGGAGGGTCAGAGAAAAAGAGGAAGACCCCCAACGAGATGGATTGGCCAAGTGGCAACATCGATGGACTCAAGTGTGGCAACAGTAGTGAAATTGGCCCAGGATTGGGCAGTGTTTTGTTCTGCTGTGAAAAGGGTCACTATGAGTCAGTACCAACTCGATGGCACCTAACAACAAAAACAACAATGGCAAATGGGGAGTCCTGATGTGGCGCTGTGGGCTAATGTGTCAGACTACAAATTCATTTGAACTGCAAGGTCAGTAGTTCAAGCTCACCAGCTGCTCCTTGGGAACTCTACACAGGTCGCTATGGGTCGGAATCGATTGGACGGCACTTAACAGCAACCACAATGGCAAATGGAGCTCTGGTAGTGTAATGGTTACGAATCAGGCTGCTAACATTAAGGTCGGCAGTTTGAAACTACCAGCTGTTCCATGGGAGAAAGATGAGGCTTTCTGCTCCCATAAAGATTTGCAGCCTCGGAAACCCTGTACAGGGTCACTATGAGTCGGAACCTACTCCACGGTGATGTGGGTTAATGAGCCAGACTGCAAAGCCATGTGAACTGCAAGGCCAGTGGTTCAAGCTCACCAGCTGTTCCTGGAAACCCTATACATAGTTGCTATGGGTCGGAACTGACTCGATGGCACTTAACAACAGTGGCAAATAACTGAATATTTCTTCGTGTGTGTAGACTGCTTGAATGTTGTCTTTGATGGTGCGTCTGCCTATGTCCTCTGCCTTTTTTTTTTAATGTTTTATTGTGAATTATGTGATGGTTTACATGGGAGAACATTAGCTTTACATTCATCCTATAGTATATCATTTCACTGCCATGGTTACAATTCCCTCCATGCATCATCAACCAACCATCAAACCCCGCAAGCCTTCACCCCAGTCGTCAGCACACAGCCCCCTTCCTCTTTGGGTCTAGAGTCCCCAGCCACTCTATCTCTCCACGTCATTGTCTCTGCCTCCATCTCTGGCATCACTGTTTCTCGGGTAGGGTCCCACACTCCGCTCTTCTCCATTGATGGTCCCAGGTGTTAGTGGACTGCAAAGTCAGCCACTCCCCTCCTTTTGCTACAAAATGGCAACCTTTACACTTCCAGCCCTCACAGTCAGTCCTGATAGCAATTATTCACTATTGTGCCACATGAGTGCTATTCCCATCTCCTTTCATTAGCCCCGCCCAGACACTACTCATTGGAGATTCTACCTTCCTCTGTGCTCTCTGGATCTAGGCTCCCTCTTGAAAGCTTGTAACCCAGTCACTTCTTTTCTTTGTAGGCCCTCCATTTTGGGTAGCCAATGTCCCAAGTTGCCCATCCCTGTCTACCCTGTGTATCGAGGGTGTGGGGAATGGTCCTCGCTGTAAAGATTTGTTCCCTTTTTTGAGCTACTGCATTCATAGGTGTAGATCAAGTTACTCCTTTTTGACTCTTCTTTCTTCTTCTAGTTTAGTTCTAATCATCCAGCCATTGAAGCCAGGTCAAGTGGGCATTATCTGCAAGTGTGAGCATTCTTATGCATATGCCCTCTCTTCTTATTAGCTGGACGCTTCACTCTCCACTCGAGTCCTCTGTGGCTATGTCACTGACTCTGGGCCCAAGAGTCCCTAGGTCTTGCCACACTGCTGACCAACCAGGTCTCCAGCTGGGTTCACGTGGTGTAGGACTTAGCTCGCAGCTTCATTGCTGGTTTTCCCTCACTTCCCCTTATCGGTGACCAACATGGTCACCAGTCAGAGCGCATGTCTGCTCGTATATTCCCATTGAGTCTTAGTCTTGGAAGGGGGTTTGCCCTGAGGGGACCTGACCACTTGCCTTGATGTCTCCTGGGTGAGCAACTTGCTTGTTCTTGTAGTAATCAGTCAGACTGCTGTTACTGTTTTGTATTTTTCCTGTCAGTCTTTCTTTCAAGAAGTATCTTCTCTTCTTCTAGCTGCTCCAGGCTGGTCTGCCCGTCCTTTCAAGTGGAAACTTCCCACCTCTGAAGATTCTGGATGCTGTTCAGGATTCCACCTATGGTCTTATGTAATGCAGAGGCTCTGCAGGAAGCCTCCTCCATTGGGCACATTGTAGCCCCATTTTAGGTATTCCAATCAGTTATAAGCAGAAGACAGACTTAAAAGCTTTCTGTGGTGATATTTTTGCTCTGCCTATTTTTTTAATTGGGTTGTTTGTCTTTTCTTGAGAGGAGTTGTAAAAACTAAGTACATTTGGAATTTGTTTGGTGTACAATGTTGTTGTTACTTAGAGTCAGTTCTGACTCATAGTGACCCTGTATAGGGTTTCCGAGGAGCAGCTGAATGAGCTTGAACCACCGACCTTGCAGCTCAAACTGACCTTGCAGTCCAGCACATTAACCCGCAGTGCCTCACCCGACTACTTAATTTTATACAGAAGTCGGAAAACACCATTGAGTGGTCAGTCCATGTTTTGTTCCCAGTCTTTGGAATTACTACTTGATCGCAATCCAAATTCCTGGAGGTTGGAGATGCGTAGTTTGTATTTTGTTCCTGTAACAAATGACACCGCCCACCCTTTCCCAACGCTATCAGCTGAGTT